GGGTTATGTAGTTCTGGATCCTCACTCACCTCCTCCGCCTCCTCACCTCCTCCGCCTCTCACCTCCTTCCCCCGAGAAGGTGATTGCGTCGCTGCTCGATGAGCTCGTGGCCGAGGTGGCCGAGGTGGCGGAAGTTGGCGACGAGGTGGACGAGGGTGAGCTTCAGAAGGAGCTGGAGAAGCTGGTGATTGAGCGTAGCGGCTCGCCGTTGCTCGAGGACACGGGCACATGCGAGGCCGCCGAGCTCGAGCTGCGCGCAGACGGCTACGGCGCGGTGCGCGGCGACGACGACGGGCCGCAGGTCTACAGCCTGCCGTTGAACGAGCTGCGGCGGCGCGTGGCCGACGGCGAGGACGCGTGGCCGGGCGAGGCGCAGATGGCGTGGGATCAGCGCGTGATGCGCGATCGGCTTGCACGCGGCGTGCCTCTCGGCGACTACCTCCAGGAGCTGCAACAGCTGCTGCGCGAGCCACCGCGCGATTTGATTGCCACCCACGAGCTCGCGAACTATGGCAGCAAGCCCACTGATTGGCGGCCACAGGGTAGAAACATCGCGCCGCCGCCACCGCCACCGCCGCCGCCGCCGCCGCCAGCTGCATTGCCGCCACCGCCACCCGCCAATGACCCGTGCCGCTGCACAACTTGTGGCCACATCCTACCTATTTGGAACTGCAATGCTGGATGTGAATGCTTCTATTCTGACCGGGAGGCGCTGCAGCTGCACAAGGCCTATGATTGCTCGCCGGCGTGCACACCGCGCTGGTCGCAATCACTGGTTAACGTGATGTCCGGCTCCGTCGAACCATGTGCGTATTGTACCAAGTACGCGGCCGGCCACTGCATCGGATTGGGCGCCTTCCCAGATCTGGAGACGCAGCAGCAGCAGCGCAGGCTCGAGCTCGAGGCGCAGCACAGGAGCGCAGGTACGCTGCCGCCGCCGGCGCCGCCAGCGACAAGTGGCAGCAACCGCCTCCTGCAGGCATTTGACGAGGGCGACATGCCGTACTATTACTACAAGGACACGTCGTACAACCTCGCGTGCAAATACGAACTACTCGACACCAGCGTCGCCAATCCGGAGTGGGCGCGCGATCCGCCAGCCGACGTGGCTGTCACCGAGGGCAAACCACCGGAGCGCTCCGAGTACGACCTCGGTGAGCACGGGCAGAAAGCATATCATCGGCACCGCGCGCGGTGGTACAGGGAGCACACATGCAAGGAGCTCACCGGCAGCCTTGAGGAGCAGAATGAGCAGTGGGACAACTACAAGCGCGACTTCCGCGCAGACGCCGCACGTGGCAATAGTGCTCCGCTCGAGAGGCGGCATGTTATTGAACCACTCTGGGATTATCCAGATTGATATGTGTAGATAAAAACTCCTTTTTCCCCACAAAGGGAGGGAAGCCGACGGGAAGCAGACCGGAAAACAAATACGGCGCGCGTGCGCGCCAGGTCTGCTAGTGTAGGTATATTGTTGGCAAATCAAGACACAGAGCTCACACAGAATCACAGCGGGAGGAAAGCGGCGAGTCGCAATTCCTGGGGTCCTTGTGGCGGGCCACCCTGTCCAGAGAGGCATGGATGCCAATCTGGGGTCTCTCGACCGAGTCTATGAAGCCCTGGCCGCCTCCCGGTGATGGTTAAGGTTGTAGAACCACGCGACGGAGATGGTGCGGGGGTACGGGTGTTCCAGGGGGTCACGACACGCACCGACCCTTCACGAACCGAAAGGCTGCACCCGGGGGAGGCACAGTAATCCGGGCACGTGTTGGGCGCCCCATTCCGTTTAGGGCTAGGTCGGCTCAGGGCCCCGTCCACTTCCCTCCCACTTGGCGCGTGATGATGAGGAGATGCCACCCAGGCCAGCCAGGGCAAGGGCGGAGGGCGAGAGCGGAGAGCGGAGGGCTGGGCGGAGGCAAGGGCGGGCGGAGGGCGAGGATTTTTCTTTTTCGTTGGCCGAAGCCTCGTTGGCCGAAGCCTCGGTGGCCGAAGCCTCCACGTATTCCAAATGACCTCCCAGAGGCCTGTATTCCACCCGTATTCCACCCGTATTCCACGTATTCCATGGGAATACGCCGTATTCCAAGCTCCAAAAATGGACGTATTCAAAATAAAAATTTTCTTCGCTCCGCGAATTCAGACAGTAGGGTCGCAGGCGGCGTGGCGAAAGAAGTTTACAACCACCGAGGTCGGCCGACACGATTGTTTCGCGACGGGCGAGGCGCCAAAAAAGAACCTTCTCAGAAGTGGAGAAAGAATTTTGGCAAGCACCTAGCGCCCGCGTTGTAAAATTCTCTTCACGCACACTCGTAGGGGACACACACATGCTTGCGCGACCGCGTACGCAGCTCGCTCTCGCCTGGGTCATATTCAGCGTCGTCTCCACCATGTACCTCGCGCCGCCAGTCATCTCAGGCCCGACAGCCGACGATCTTGGCGTGAGCGCCGCCGACGTCTCGCTGCTTCCGACCGCAAATGCCTTCACGCAGGTGGTTCTGGCGATGCCAGCTGGCGCAGTGCTGCACCGCATTGGCGTAAGCCGTTGCGTAGCCATCGGAGCGACGACATTCAGCCTCGCGGCGACTGGCTGCGCCTTCGCGGGATCGCTGCAGGCCTTGCTAGGCTTGCAGCTCGCGTTCGGGGTCGCGGCCTGCCTCTCCGGGCCGGGGCCACTCACACTCCTGGTCAATTCGTGGTTTGACGCCAGTGGCAAAGCCTTCGCCGTCGGCGTCTTGTTCACCGCTTTCGGAGTGGCCGGCGTGCTCTGGCCGCCACTCTGCGCCTGGGTGAGCGAGGCGGCGGGATGGAGATCGGTGTACGGCATGGTTGCAGTTGCTTCGTGGCTTCTAGCCTTTCCCATTGCCGCGTGGCTGCTGCGTGATGGTCCGCACATGCCCCGGCGCGGACTGATCTCCGACGCGCGTCCGTCTGCGAGTCAAGTCACATCTCCTTCTACGCGATTCACGCCGTCGCCAGCTGCCGTCGACCTCGCTCCCCAGGCCGCGGCGGAGGTCCTGGAGCCCGCGAGCCCCACCGCCGTGCCGCCTGCAGAAGGCCTTGAGGCAAAGGCTCCTGAGCCCCAGACGCGGGCAAGAGGAGCCAAGTGCTCTGCGTACGCCTCCCGGCTGCCGTGGTGGCTGTCCGCCTGGCGCGTCTGGAGCCTGGCTGCCTTCAGCTTTTGGGTCATGTTTGTGACTCAGGCCTTCAACAACTATTTGACGCTGTACCTCGCCACGGAGGCGGACGTGCCCCTTACCACTGCGAGCGCCTACACGTCAATCATCTACGGGCTCAACATGACGGGAAAGGTGAGATCTCTGCGCGCCCACACGCCGGTGCGTCTGCGTGAGCCCAACTCGCCGATACTGCATAGGTTCTCTTTGGGCTCCTCTTCGACCACCAGCGCGCGAATGCCTACGCCATCGCCGCCCTGGCGCTGTGGGTGCTTGGATGCGCCATGGTGCCGCGCGTCAACGGCTCGGGCGAGCTTCGGCCAGGCGCGGTGGACGGCACCCGGGGTGAGGGCGTGTCACACATCCAGCTGCTGGCCTTCTCGCTCGTCTACGGCTTGGGGTATGGCGGGGTCTTCATCCTCATGCAGTCCAAGCCGTTGCAGCTCTACGGCGGCGACGCGGGCTTCCCGCACATGCAGGGCTTCTTTCTCACCTGGCAGCGCGTCGGAACCATCGCGGGCGTCTCCCTCACGGGAGTGATGGCTCGGGGCGCCGACTCGGAGCACGCAGGCTCCTTCTCCACGCCATTCAAGTGGCTGCCGCTCCTCGCCGCCCTCGCGATGGCCCACTTTGCAGGCGCTGTCTTTCAGCCAAGGATATGCACCACCTCGTGCGGCCGCGGCGTGCAGAGGGGGGTGCAGCCGCGGGAGGTCGGAATGCGATGGCAGCGGATGGCGTCGAACGCGTCGGACGATTCCAGAGAGAGCACCCGTGCTTGAGGAGGCCGTGGTCTGTAGCGAATCGTTTTCAGTGTAGAGAGAAAGTGTTCCTTCTCAATCTCTCTCTTTTAGTGTGTCGAGCGGCTCTCAGAGGCGAACGACCCGTCTGCTCTTATACATAATACGTCAAGTATTACAAGAGACACGAAATTCACGAACTCCCTCTCTCACTGCTCAAACGACACCTTTCACGTATCACGTAACGGCTAACGAACATTGAGGATATTGGATTGAGGTCGTGTGACTGCTCTCTGTTGACTCGTGAGGGGTGCTCGTGCTGTGTACACGCAAGATCACAGGTACGAAACGCACACATTTTGTACTGAGAGAGTCCTCGCTCTCTCACCTGCACTGCGGTCGACTGTGATAGAGATCTACCTTTCTACCTATGCAAACCCCATGCGCATCGCCGGGAGGTTGATTCAGTCGAGGTCCTCGACGAAGCCTGAGCCCATGATATCCACTGCGGCCGCTCGCGCCGCCTCGATGTCGCCAGCGGTGGCGCTCGGGCTCGGGGCCGCCGCCTCGGCTGGCGCAGCAGTCGCTGCCGACGAGCCCGCGGCGCTCACACTTTGGTGGAGCAGAGCAACGAGCTCGTGCTTTTCGACGCACCCGACGTGGTCGACGCGGCGCTCTACCAACGCGCTCTTGATCTCCTTGATGCTCATGGCGGCAATCTCGCCCGCTGTCAAGGGCCGTGGCGGCGGCCGTGGAGGCGGCTGAGGAACGCTCTGCTGTTGTCGCGGCCGATGCTCTTGTTGCTGCTGCTGTCGCGGCGGCGGCGGCGGCTGCTGCTGTCGCGGCTGCTGCTGTGGCGGCTGTGGTGGCGGCGGCTGTGGCGGCTGCTGCTGTGGCGGCTGCTGCTGTGGCGGCTGCTGCAAAGTCGCCTCCTCCTGCGCAGCCAACGCTGCCCTCTTCTCGCGCACGGCGGCCTCATGCTTCGCAACCTGCGCTTGCGCCGCCTGAGCCTCCTCCTTCGCCACAGCTTCTGCTGCCTCCGCCTCCTTCGCGAGCGCCGCTGTCTTCCGCGCGCGTTCTGCCGCGAGCCGCGCTTGCTCTGCCGCCGCCCGCGCCTGCTCGCTCAGACTCCGCGCCTCCGCCGCGGCCTTGCTAGCGCGGGCCTGCTTCTGGGAGGTCGCGCTGCACGCCGCCGCCAGCGCCGCCTCCTCGGCCCCTAGCGCCGACCGCAGTGACGCGAGGGACGCCGCTGTCGCCGCTCCGGCCGACGGCCCATCTCCCTGGGTCAGATCTACGAACCCAGGCCGCTTGGGCACGCCATCGGAGCCCCGCTTGACTCCCGCCACGCCGGCCGCCCCTTCGCCGGCCGCCCCTTCGCCGGCCGACCCCCTGCTGGCCGCCCCACGGGCCGTGGAAGAGCCGCTGCCGGCCGCGTCGATGCGACGCAGGGAGGTGGGAGGTACCCTCTCCTCTCTCCCGCCGCCCTCGTACGCCACGTCGCACGCACCGTCCGCGTGCACCCTCGTCACTCTCGCGGCGCGCCACGGCTCCGCGGCGGCGTCTGCCAAGCGAGGCGGGTGCTCGGAGCGCCGGCTGGCCGCCTCGGAGATGGAGGAACATGACGGGCGCGCCTCTGCGTCGGCCCACACCCACCCGTCCCGCAGCAGCGAGACCCACTCCAGGCCCGCCGCCCCGGTGACCGCGACCTGCACGCCGAGCTCGAGCGCGTCGAGCGACACGATTGCACCCTCGAAGCCGGCCTGGCCCGAGCCACCGCTCCCTGGAGGCGCCGCCCGTGGGGCGACGCGGATGCGGCACTCCTCGAGCGGCTGCCACGCCTTGCCCCTCAGCTCGGCGGGCAGCAGCATGTCACTCGTGTGCGAGGTGAGGATCCGCGCGTGGAGCGCGCCCGGCTGCAGCCCGGCAACGTCGCAGCTGGCGATGTGGCACACCCGAAGCGGGCCGCCGGTCTGCAACGCGACGCGCACCGCCGGAACCTTGCTGCGCTGCCGGCTCGCCTCGCACGCGTCGCCCACCCGCAAAGGCTGGCCCGCGGGCCGAGTGGCCGTAGCTCCCGGCGCCGGGGGCTTGGCCTTGGCTTCCGGAGCGGCGGGCGCGGCGGCGGAGCCAGGCGCTCGCGGCATTTGCGCGGGCGCGGGAGGCGCCCTTGCTTTCGGCGCGCAATACTCGCAGAGCCACTCCCCTACACAGCGAGGCCCGGAGCGGGATCAGCGAGGGCCGTGGAGCGCGGCGATCCCCCGGGCCCGCTTTTCCCTCGGGGAGGTCCTCTTCGCGCATCGGCGGGACGAGGCACTCAAAGTGGAAGACCTTCGGGCAGCGGTCGCAGCAGAGCAGCTCGCCGCCGTCCTTGCAGTGGTGGCACTCGCCCATCTTGCCGTCGTCGCCGATGCCGTAGTACTGCGCCTTCCGCTGCTGTGCCTACGGGGCGGGCCGTGGCACGCGGTGCAGACGCACCGCCCTCGGGGCGCCACAGCGCCCTCCGCCCGACACACCTCCTTTTGCTTGGCAAGGAGGGCCTCCAACTCCGCCTCGCCCTCGGCCAGGTCAGCCGCCTCCGCCGCCGCCTCCGCCGCTGCGTCCGCCTGCTCCCGCTCCTGCTGCGCCTCCCGCCACGCGTCGTGCCAAGCGCTAGCCTCCTCCGCGCTGCACCCCTCGCGCTGCTTGACTCGCCTTTGCCGCGCGTGCCGCTCCTCCTCCGCCGAGCGAAGCTTGCGCCGCTCGTCGGCGCGGCTCTCCCGCGCCGCCCTGCGCCGACTCTCGAGCCGCGACTTGAGCGCCTGCACCGCCTTTGCGTCCGCCTTCTTCTGCTTGGCCCTGTCCGCCTCCCACTTAGCCTTTTCCGACTCCCACTTTGCCTGTTGCGCCTCCTTCGCCGCCGCGCGCTGCTGCGCCGCCGCGGCAGCGCGCGCCGCCGCGGCGCTGGCCAGCGAGGCCGCGGAGCGCGCCGCCGCCGGCGGAGCGGTCGACGCGCGCGCCCTCGGCCAGCCCGGCTGCGGAGGCTGAACGGACGGCGCGGCGTGCTGGCGTGGGACGGGCGGAATCTCGATCTTCATGAGCGACTTGCACTGCGGGCATTGCAACTGGTACGCCTGCGGCCCCACCGTATGGTTGGCCGGGACTGTCGTGCGGATAACCATCTTGCAGTGCGGACAACTGGTCGAGTGGATCGACGGCGGCGCTGCGGAGCCGGGATCAACCCTCGCTGGAGCGGGCTTGTTGTACTGGCTCGGCGCCGGCCGCGCCGAGGCCATGTCGTAGGCGTGGCGCCGTTGCGGGTCAACCAGCGTTGCTATCGCCATGGAGAGCCGCTCCCACGCAAGCTTGGCTGCCGGATCTTGGTTTTTGTCAGGGTGGAGTTTGAGAGCGAGTTTCCGGTACGCCTTGCGTACGAGGGTCTCGTCGAAGTCGCTCGCCCCCGCCAGGCCGAAGACGGCGTAATGGTGCCTCGCCGACATCACCGCCTCCACCTCGGCGGTCGTCATGGCGGAATCGGAGCGAGCGCAAGACCAGGCGGGAGAGTGTACGAAGTTAGTGAAGAAAAAGAAAAAAATTTAGAAAAAGGACGAAGTTGACCGCAACCCGATCCCGATCATCCTCCGGCCCGCTGGGCTTCTCAGCTCCCCGGCCCTGGATGTGAGGCGGTTGATGACTGCACTCCAAGTGCTCTCCCCAAAAGTGCGCTACTCCTACCACACTTCCACTAGGATCTAGGTAGTTGCCGCGGCCGCGGGACCCCCGTAACTCTAACTGCTCCAAAGTGTCTCAAATAAAATACAGACACCGACAGAGGTGGAGCAGCCGTCATGTACGAGACGGACCACGATGGACGGCGAGGTGGGTTGCTACACCCAAACTGGCACTGCTAGTGTCCAAACACGAGGCCGCTGCCGCACTTGCAGCGCTTCAAGCGGAGCAGAGGGCAGACGGGTGGGGGGGGAAGGAGGGCGGGGGGGGGGGGGGCGACGACTAGGAAACGGGTGGCGCGCCCGACGGTATTTCCGTGGCCAGCAGCAGTATGCAGGGCGGCGAGGTATGCACGTAAGCGATTCGCAGCGACCGACCGATGGGTCGTCGACGGGCTAGTTGTAGTTGCGACGGCGGCCCCTGATCTACCGGCCAGAGCCGGCAAGGCTCTGGCCAGCCAACGGGAGGCTCGGCGGGCAACGCAGCGGCGAGAAGAACTTGTCCGGGTCCACTTTCGACCCCGGCGGGCGCGGCACGACCGACATCGCGTCGAGCGGGGCGAAGATGGAGTCGGGCGACTCGGATCGAAGCGAATCGTCCATCGGCGCGGAGGCGGGCACGCGCACCGTCACCTCGCACGTCTTGAAGACCGACTCAAAGTGGTCCATCAGGATGTGCCGGCACAGGAAGAGCGTTTTCTGCGCAGGGGGAGCGGTGAGGTGAAAGCGGCGAATGGCGCACGCGGCGCGCGGCGGGGCGACTGTGTGCGGCGGGGCGGGGAGGGCGTCCCAAAGGAGGGGGCGGGGGGGGGGGGAGGGTAGCGCACCAGGTCGACCTCGCACAGGCAGGCGAGCTGCGCGGTGTGCTTGTTTTCCGACTCGATGTCGCCCAGCTGCTGCCACGCCAGCATGAGGGAGCCGGCGGCGATGGCGATGGGGCTGAAGTCAAGCATCCTCGCCTCGTAGAAGGACATGTCGACGAAGAACTCGGCGCGCTTGACGCAGGATTTGGACGCGCCCGTGATCTGGAAGAGGTGCTCGAGGTACTGGTGCGGCGCCGCCTCGTGCAGGTCCCAGTCGAGCAGGCAGAGGACGGTCATCTCGGCCTCTTTCATGAGGATGCGCGATCGCGGCGCCCGGCCCTTGGGCAGGTCCATCTTGGCGAGCTCCTCGATCGCCGGCACCCGCACCTCCTGGAACTTGGTCGCAACGAGGACGCACACGAGGCCGACGACGTCGAGCGGCACGTTAATCTCTGCGCCGAGCGCGGCTTTTGCGCAGACGCGATCAAACATCGAGACGGCGAGGCCGGCCGTCTGGGGCTGAAGACAAAAGTCCTCAGTCACCTGTGTCGGCGCGGGGGGGCGGGGGGCGGGGGCGTGAGGCGGGATTGGAGTGAGAGGGTGTGGCGCAGACGGGAGGGGGGAACGTGAGATGCGCCGCAGAGAGAAGGGGGAGGGCGGCGTGCCCACGCCGCGCGCGGCCGCGACGCGGGGAGGGAGCGGTGCGGTGGGGGCGGGGGGTGGCCAAGCGCGTGCACGAGGGCGGGGGGGCGGGGGCTACAGGGCTGCAGGGCCGGCGCGCGCCTCGCATATTTTCTCGACGCGGTCCTGTGGCGCGGGGGAGGGGGGGCGCGTGGGCGCGCGCGGAGGGAGGGGGCGTGGGCGTGGGCATGCGGCCACGGCGGGGGAGGGGGCAACGGCGCGCGGGCGGACCCAGCGCGGGTCTGGAGTGCACGGCGCGCGCGGTGTGCGCGCAGAAAACGCTCGCGAGCGGCGCTCACCTCGCGGTCCTTTGGGCTGAGCAGCCGCGCCGTCCGCGGCACGGCGCGCCACGTGTGCGCTGCCTTGAGCCGCACGACCGCGACCCGCGCGGCGTCGGCTTGCGAGAGCATCCGGTACAGAGGCGCTTTTCGGCACGGCCCCGTTGCACCGTGATCCACTCCCGCCAGAGGACCGAGACCTCTTTCATCATGCAGGCGCCCGTAGCTTGCAGGGTCACGAAACTTAGATGCCGAGAGTGGTAGATGTAACTGCCAAGTTTGCCGCATGCATAAGCAGGGGCGTGCGAATCTCGAAACGCCTTTAGCTCGTTCCCCCCGATTCTCCAATCTTCGCCGTGCCGAGGCACCGCCGCCGGACCGATTGAGAGAGAGATTTTGAGAGAGAGATTTCTCTTCCCGATTGATTGGGAGAGACTCGAGAAATAGATTTCTCGAAATACAGTGCCCGCCCGTCCTGCGTCCACGGATACCGCGTTGGTGTCCCAGTCGTTGGTCGGACTGTGTTTGTGTTTCGCCTTACCTCAATCAATCGAAACACAAACCGAGGGCGACCTCTCGTGCGCGCCGGGCTGGCTCCGGGGCTCGCCGGCGCACCGCGACAAGGAGGGCAAACCCACGGGGCGAGTGGACTGCTTCAAGGCCGTCGGCACCTTCTTTGGCGACCCCGAAGCCTGCAAAAAGGAGCTCACCGCGCACCTCAGGAAGAAGCTCGCGCCGCTCGACGTGGGCTCGACATCATCGACACGATCGTCGACACTGACTGCGTCACGAACACCTCGCAGCTCCGCCTCAACCTCGTCCAACGGATTGGCCTGTGCAAAGACCAAGTAAGTACATTGCCGGCATCACGCCGCCCAATGTCGCGTGCGAGGCTCTCGAGTTTGCGCACAACCGCATCCGCAAGTCCTTTGAGGGCATTGCTCGCGCCGACGCCTCGCCCCAGGCGCTCCGCGACCTCGCGTGGGCGGGTGCAACATCGACACCGCCTTCACGCGAGCCGACAGCGACTTCTCCATGTCGCTCAGTGTTCAAACTTTATCGGTACGAGTGTGAGGACCTTTTCGGTTTGAGGACCTCTTTGTGAGGACCTCCTTGTTGCACATTTGGGAGCTCAGGACCTCCCGCGCGGCGCGCGGCGAAACGGCGTGAGCACCTCCGTTGCGTTGTCTCTCTCTCCGGCGTCTCGCGATCTTGAGAGAGCTTGCACGTGTGCTTGTGTGCAGCTCTTGGCACTTGGGACTTGGCGCATCCAGCACCAACGACGAACCCCAGGGAGGCGCCCGCGGCCCAGGCGCCAGGGCCAGGCGCAGGCGCCCCCCCCCCCACCACCACCACCACCACACAGCCGCCACACGCCCCACTTACCACATCCCCCCACACAATAATCACGCGACCGCAGGCGCGAGGAGGCAGATGCGCAGATCCGAAGTCGCACTCGCGGCACGCTTTGAACAGGCAACAACACAAAACAAGCGGCGGTTGGTTGGCTCTCATCGTCAACGTTTCACCCTCTAAGAAAGAAAGAAAGAAAACAGACAACCCAAGGGAGGGATGTTTCACCCTCTAAAAGAGAGAGAGAGGACCGCAGAACTCTTTTCTCCCAGTGCTCTCCCGCCTCGTCGTCGCGCTCCCTTCTCGGGCTCCGGCATGGCGACCCGCGCCGACGGCCGCCTCCCCAACCAGCTCCGCGCGATGGCTGCCGAGCCCGGCGCGCTCAGCCGCGCCGACGGCTCGGCGCGCTTCCAGCACGACGGCACGCAGGTGCTCGCGGCGGTGTGGGGCCCGGGCGAGGTGCGCCGCGCGCGGGAGCGGCCCGATCAGGCGACGCTCGAGGTGCTGGTGCGGCCAGCCTCGGGGCTCGCCGGCCCGCTCGAGCGCGAGATGGAGCTGCTGCTGACGGCGACGCTCTCGCACGCGGTCGTGCTCAGCCTGCACCCGCGGACGCTCGTCTCGCTGGTGGTGCAGGTGGTCGACCACGACGGGTCGGTGCTCGCCGCGGCGCTCCACGCCTGCGGCCTCGCGCTCATCCACGCCGGCGTGCCGCTGCGCGGCATGCTCGGCACGTGCGCCTGCGCCGTGGCGGCCGATGGCGCGCTGCTGCTCGACCCGACGGTGGCGGAGGAGGCGAGCGCGGTGGCGGTCGCCACGCTCGGCTACCTCGTCTGCTCGGCCGACGGCGACGGCGGCGCCGCCCCCGCGTGCGAGCTGCTGCTCAGCCATTCGACCGGCGCCCTCTCTGCGGAGCAGCACGCCGCCGCCGCGGAGGCGGCGCGCGAGGCGGCGGTGGCGGCGGCAGCCTTCTGCAGGCAGTCGATGACGGCGGGGCGCGCGCCGCTCGACTCGCCGCACCTCGCGCTAGGCAGTTTGGGGTCGGCGCAGAGGTAGTAGCGCTGGTGCGTTTCTTGAAAAGGCGCTTGAAAACGATGATCGCCGAGGGGCGCTATCTGTATCTCTCGCCTATCTGCATATCGGAAGGACAAGGTGGGGGGACTCTGTCCTTAAGGTTAAGGTTGCTCCCGGCCCAGCCTACTCAGTGACCGTCTAAGGGGGGGGGGCCTAAATGGCCTGCAATATCCTTTCTTTTGTGCCTAGCTTGTAGAGCACCTCAAAAAAGTACTATGATCTATGTCTTGCTTTCTTTTCTTATTGTCTTGCAGTGAATTTTTTTTCGATGACATGAGGTGGGGGTCCGTGGTGAGCACATTCCCAGATTCTCCAGGTCCCCCCTCGAAAATCGCCCCTTTTAATTCACTGCGGCCCGGCTTTGCTCGGATTACTTTTCACTCGAAGACATAGTAGTTTTTTGGTGTTACGGTGCCTACAACAAATATCCTGGAGCTGATCACAATATACCTACAACAGGGTTCACGGCGGTCATTGTCCTTCCAGCTAAAAGAAAAGAAAGAAATCGTGCCAAGCGCCAAGGCCCAAGCGGCCCGCCACTTGGAGCACTGGAGCCACATCGAGTGCGGTCATCAGCGCCGTTTCGAGCCCAACAATGCTCGTCGACACGCTCACGCGCTGCATCTCTCCCATCTCCCCCTCACGCTGCTTCAAGTCGCCGGAGAAGCAGCGTGCCCCATCCCAGCAGCGTAAGCAAATGCCGAAGCTGCTCCTGGTTGCGTTTGAGGGCTTCGAGCTGCTTGACGCCTTCGGGCCGCTCGAGCTGCTGCTGCTCGCAGGGTACTCCGTCACCATCGCAGCGCCGACAAACGGCGTCGTCCGTGGAGGCGTCGTCGGGAGCGAAGCATGCAAGAGCGAAGCGGCTAAACTCGAAGTTCGCTCATGCGTGCCCGTTGTCGCCTCACATTCCCTGGTCGAGGCGCTCTCCCAGAAGTGGGATCTGCTGCTTGTGCCCGGCGGCCAGGGCACGCGTGCCCTCGTTGGCGACGAGCCCTTCCTCGCTACTCTCGCGCTCCTGTGTGACGCCTCGGCCGCCGTCGCCTCTGTCTGCACCGGCTCTGCGCTGCTCGCTGCGGCCGGCGTGCTCGATGGCAGGAAGGCGACCACAAATAAGCGGGGCTGGGCGTGGGTGACGGAGAGCAGCAAGCGTGCGGCGACGGTCGAATGGACGCCCCGGGCGCGCTGGGTGGCGGACCGGACCGGCGGCAAGCTTTGTGCGACATCCAGCGGCGTGGCGGCGGGCCTGGACATGGCCGTCTGGCTTGCCTCGGACTTGCTGGGCGCTGGTGTCGGCGAGGCGGCGGCCAAGCGCGCCGAGTACGTCCCCTCGACCGATCCGGCCGACGACCCATTTGCTGCGCTCGTCAAGTGAGGAGTCGGGGCAGACGCCGCACCAGATCCCGGAAGGGCGGAAAGCGCCGCTTTGGTCTCGCTCGTCCTGTGTGCGAATCAATCGGACGTGCTTGCCGAAGCGCGCTCCAGTGCCCGACTGCTGATATGGTGATTTGCTGGCGACACGCGCCGCTTGTGGGGTGATAAGTGAGGCGTCGTAATCGTGTCACAAAATGTCGTCGATAAATGCCTGGTGCTCGAGGCCCGGTGTGGGCGTGTGGCGCGGTGTGTGTGTGGTTGTGTGTTGTCGATATGGATAACGACGCGAGATCGCGTGTTGGGTTATTTGTACTCGGACGCCGCTGCTCAGTCGCTCTCTCTTAGTCTCTTTTCGCGGACGGTGTCGCGTGTCGCGGTCCGCCCGGTCTCTCGCGGTCTCGCCGTCCCGCGGCGTGACGGCGCGTGATACGCTTGTGTGTGTTTGGGGGGGGGGGGGGACCGCCGTGTACGGATCGCCAGGGTGTGATATTCCGGCACCAACTTGATTCGTAGATCGGCGTCTCACGGCCGGGCCGCGGGACGGGGAGGGACGGGGGGTCGATCCGTAAATCCGTAATTCCGTAAATTTGTAACGAAAAGCGACGAGGGAGTCCCCCACCACACCCATCCACCAGGCAGATAGAGACACAGCACGCTGAGAAGCCGGAGGCTGGCCTCTCCAACGCTCGCGCAACGCTGTCTGCACGCGCAGCAGCTCTGGGGTCCGGGCGGCCCAGGCCACACGGTGGGCGGGTCAACGACCGTACGACTGCAGTACGACTGTAAAGCTGCGTACGTGTTTCTTAACACTATATTCGTGCTTGCCGTATGCCGAGCCGCGCCTCTGCGAGTGCGACTATCAACCCCTCACACACGCGTGGGGGGGGCGCAGAGCGAGGACCGAGGTACAACCACATCAAACGTCCGCCGGCTCGACGACACGCTACGTCCCCAAGCGCTCTTCTCTCTCTACGAGCGCTGCGCTGCCTCCGCCGCCGTCCTGGCTGCAGCCGCCCTGGCCCTCGAAGCGGCCGCAGCGGCACGCCTCGCGTCTGCAGCGGCCGCCGCCTCCTCGAGCGCCGCCTCGCTCCCCTCCAGTGCCGCCTTGGCCTCCTCCAGCGCCGCCTTGGCCTCTGCATGCGCCGCCCTGGCCTCCGCCCTCGCCACCTCGGCATCCGCCAGCGCCGCCTCGGCCGCCGCCTCTTCCTCCTCGTCCGCCTCCGCCTCCTCCTCCGCCTCGTCCGCCTCAGCGTCCAAGCGCACAGCCTCGGCCACCTCTGCCGACGCCGCCGCCTGGCTCTCCGCCGTGATGCCGAGCCGGATCCGCTCCTCGTGACACTGCTCGAGAAGCCTGATAATTCTCTCCTCCTCGGCCTTCTTTGCGGCCTCGGCTGCGTCTGCCTCCGACGGCGCCTCGGCACCCTCCTCTGTCTCCTGCGACGGCCCAGCCCCGCCTGTCCCTCCGCCCTTCTTCTTCTTCTTGCCCTTCTTGCCCTTGGCGCGCTTCTCCGCCTCGACCTCCGCCAGCAGCTCCTCGGCGTGCCGCGCCGCCTCCTTCTCCTTCGCTGCCCTCTCCGCCGCCCTCTCCGCCGCCTCCGCAGCCCACGCCGCCTCCTTCGCCGCCTTCTCGGCCGCCGCCTTGGCCGCCTCATGCTCCCCGAAGGCGCGCACGCACTCGGTTTGGCCCTTCTCCTTGGCCCATTGCAGCGCGGTATTGCCCTCCTGAGAGCGCAGCGTCATGTCAGCGCCCGCCCGCAGCAGCTGACGCACCACGGCGGGGCGGCCGTTGACGGCGGCGAACATCAGAGCGGTGTCCCCGTCGTTGTTCTGCAGGTCGATCTCCGCGCCATGCCGGATCAGCATGTCGACAATCCGCTCGTGACCTTTGTAGGCGGCGTTCATCAGCGCAGTGCCGCCGGTCGTGCGGCTTCTCTGGTTTATCTTAGCGCCGTGCCGCAATGCCAGCTCGACCAGCTTCTCGTAGCCGTTCACGGCGGCGAGGCTCAACGCGGTGCCGCCGTCGCTCTTCTGCAACGAGACGTCCGCGCCGACGTCCGCGCCGCGCCGCAGAAGCGCCTCAGCCAGCCCCGCGTGGCCATTGGCCATTGCGAGCATCAGCAGCGTCATGCCGATCGAAAACGAACCGCCATCAAAGGTGTACTCGAAGGTCGCGTCGACCCGCCCGCCGCCGTCGAGCCACGCCAGCGCCGTCGTCGTTTCTCCTCTCTTAGCCGCAAGCACGACCTCCTCTGGCACCGTCTCGCCGCCAACAACGGGTTCCATTTGGCGACGGCGCCTCACAAAGAAGAAAAAACCCTGCCCCGCTACGGTGTGCCTCGCCTGCTTCGCCGTCTCGTCCACCCGCAGCCGCTCCCGCCGCTCCCTCTGGCCCTCCCTCGCCGCCGGAAGGGCGCAGTTCGGGCCGCTCTCCTCCACGCCGGCCAGCACGTCCGCGGCGCTCACCGACGTCCGTCGCCTCCTCCGCCGCCGGCTCGGTCGAGCCGCCCGCCGCCTCGCGTAGTCGGCGCTGCCGCTCGCGCTCGTGGTGTGCTGCTCGGCGCTGGACGCCGCCACCCTCGCACACACGCCGCCTGCGGTGCCATCTCGCCGCAGGCGAAGGGAAGGCCGACCCCAAATTTACACAAACTCCGAGCTGGAAGTCGTTCGGAAGTCCCTTCGAACGCGCGAAAGCGCCGGCTTTCGAAACCCGGCGCCCGCCCTCTCTGTGGCCGCGTCCTCCCCTGTCCGATCTTCTGGTTCCACTATTTTTTACATACATAAAAAACGAACGCGCGGGGTAATTCCTAATTCGTAATTGTAATTCGTGTAATCGAGACACACGGTTTTCGTCACACAATGTCATTGAGTCACAACTCGCATCTCGCGTTCTCGCTTTTTTGCTCTGGGTGTAAATGCTCTGGGCCGGCGCGGGGGCCCCCGGCCCACACCGTGCGCCGCGCAGCAGTGCGGAAACGGGGCTGGGCTCCGGCTCTATGAGTCTCTATGAGCACCGACTTCCCGATTAAGCTAGGTTAATCAGAGGGCAGATTTGGAGAGATCTCGAGGAGTACATACAGATAGACCCTCCAACCATCAGAAAACTCCGACCTGATCGGTCGTACTGACCGCCGACAGATCACTGCAGACAGGCCGACGTCTACACGCGGCCGGCCGGGCGAGAGGCTTGACACGATCCGACCCTGCGACCCTGACGCTGCTGCTCTAGCTATCAGCCATGCACTGCTGACTGCTGCCACAATGTGCGACCTGTGCTGGCCCACTTGGCGGCCTTCCCGGTCAGTGGTGAGGCGCAGTTCAGAGCTGTCGATGGCGCGATGCCGCACTGGTCCCACATTGGTGACACGAGACCACCAAGTTTGCCGGTCCAAGAGAGAGGCACCGGCGCTGTCCTGAGAAGGTGCATGGTCCCTCTTGACTGCCCATGCGCGCGAGGCTGTGTAGGCATAGCCTCGAGAGTGCCAGCAGCCCATCCGAGGTGACGCGCATTGCGCCAGAAGCGTGCACGCAGCTGGAAGGACACCTTCCTACTGGCCGTACGATCAGGTCGTCACTGAATGCTTAATACTAAGGCCGCGAGCTATGCAGGTGATCAATTGTGCATCATGGCACGGTCAGCTGCGCCGACAGGCTGTCGCAAGGCGTGATAGCATGGCCGCAAGTACGCCGAATTCCCGCCATGAAAACAAGTAAAAAATCGCGAAAAAAAACTCCAAAAAATCGGCGCCTGCGGCGGGCCATGGGACCCCATCTCCCCCCCGCATGGACACCCTCTGGGCCCCCCGCGGGCGCCGGCCCAGAGTGTAAATGTAATATTTGTCCTCAGTTGTTCGTTGAGGTCACAGAGGGACGCGCTGACCCCCCCGCGGCGGCGGGTCGCACCGCACACATCTACTCGTACACACGCGGTGCGGCGCCCGGCGGCGGGCGCTGTTTTCTCGCTCCCGTGCCGCGGGGTCCGTCACAGTCTGGGCTGTCCGGACTGCGCGTCAGTCTCAGACTGACCGCACAAGTCCGGGGATGCGGCGGCGGGGATGCGGTACGTCTCCAGGATCGCCTTCGCTTCCTGCTCGGCGGTCGACGTGTCGATGGCGATGACGGCGGGTCCGCCCACGCACTGCACCTCGAAGGCGAGGTGGTCGCACTCGGCCTGCAGCCGCTGCACGAGCGCGTGCATCTGCCTCAAGTTGAGGACGCGCTCGCCGTTGACGGAGAGCACCCGACGGTCGGCGAGCGTGAGGTACCCCGCCGTCTGCGGGCTGGGGAGCACGCGCGAAAGCAGCACTGGCTGCTCGGCTGCCTCGCTCTGCGCGCCAGACAGCACGAGCTGCACGAGCTCGTGCGGCGCGTCCTGCTGCCAGTCGTCCCCCCACTCGTGCAGGTACCTGCGGGTCGCGGAGATGTCGCGGAGATGTCGCGGAGATGTCGCGGAGATGTCGCGGAGATGTCGGGGAGATGTCGCGGAGGCGTCGCGGCGGAGAGCACCGGCCGGCGAACAGACGCTTTTGCTCGGAGGAGCGGCGGGGCAGCTGGCAAGGGGATGGGTGGTCCGGGGAGGCTCACAGAGGGCCCTCCCGCCCGTGCTCGCTGTGCTCTCTAGCCCGGCGCACGGCTCGGGTAATCTCGGGTAATCTCGGGTAATCTCGAGTAATCTCGGGTAATCTGTGCTCTCTAGCGCGGCACACGGCTAATGGGAGAGATGGGGAGAGATGGGGAGATGGCTCTCTAGCGCGGCGCACGGCTCGACGAACGGCACGAAGACGAGGCCGGCGTAGATGAAGTACGGGAGGGGCTCGTCGTAGGCGGTCGGCGGGATGAGCCGCTGCAGCGGCCGCACGGGAACCTCGAGCTCGAGCTCCTATCGGAGATATGGGGAGATATGGGGAGATATGGGAACCTCGAGCTCGAGCTCCTGCTCATTAAATATACTAGAATTAAATAATACATATAATTAACCTCGAGCTCGAGCTCCTGCTCATTAAATATACTAGAATTAAATAATACATATAATTAACCTCGAGCTCGAGCTCCTGCTCATTAAATATACTAGAATTAAATAATACATATAATTAACCTCGAGCTCGAGCTCCTGCTCATTAAATATACTAGAATTAAATAATACATATAATTAACCTCGAGCTCGAGCTCCTGCGAGGCGGTGGTGGTTGGTGGTGGTGGAGGAGGAGGAGGAGGAGGTGGTGGTGGGGGTGGCGGGGGAGGAGGAGGAGGAGGAGGTGGCGGAGGTGGCGGGGGAGGCGGAGGCGGAGGCAGAGGGAGACGAGCAAGCGCGGGCGCGTCTCGCGGGGCGACAAGGTGCGTGTGGCGCGCCTCTCCCGCGCGCAGCACGCGCAGGCCGATGGTCTGGTGCGCAAACTTGAGGTGTATCAGGTGCGCAAAGGAGAGCCGCTCCTGTCCGCCGAGGGGGGTGTCGGGGCGCGGAGGGAGGGCGCGGGTGCGGGTGGTTGGTTGGTGGGGCGGGTGGTTGGCTCGAGGAGGCGGTGGTTGGCTCGAGGAGGCGGGTGGTTGGCTCGAGGAGGCGCTCCTGCCCCCCGATGGCAAAAGAGCCGTCGTTGGCGATGGCGTGCCCGTCCAGCTCGAGGAGGACGTCGCCTGGCAGTTGGTTCGCAGATGAAGGAGCAAGTCACGACTGAGAGCCGTCCGGCTCGAGGAGGACGTCGCCTGTCCGGAGGAGCGCCGCGGCGGGCGCGGTGGGCGCGACGCCGCGGATGCGGACGCCGGTGCGCCCCTCCATGCCGAGGTAGGCTCGCAGCTGCGGGTTGTCGAGGGCCTGACAACAATCACCGTCGTCACACATCGCAGCAGACAGCGGCGAGAAGAGCGTGCGGCTGGTCGAGGGGCCTGCCAGAAGATGCCGAGCGAGGGGAAGCCGGCGGGGCGGCGCGGGTCGGAGGGGGCGTCGTCGACGAGGTAGTGGGCGATGATGGGCGCGGGGATGACGTACCCGATGTTTTGCGAGTCGAGCTGGTTCTGGAAGGCGACGCCGATCACGTCACCGTCGGCGTTGAGGGCGGGCCCGCCGCTGTTGCCAGGGTTGATGGCGGCGTCGATCTGCACCGCGAGCAGGTTGGCGCCCGAGTGGGCGTACCGCTGGATCTCGATGCGCGAGACGACGCCCTGCGTGACCGAGACGCCCTCGCCTCCTTCCGGGTACCCCACCACCGAAACCTCGTCCTGCAGCGACGGCATCGGACCAAACTCGAGCGGCTCGACGCCCTCCCAAAAGGCGTCGTCCGACACGGTGAGAGTGGCGAGGTCGCACTCGTGCGCGATGCGCGCCACCTGCGCCACGTGCTTCTGCGAGTCGCCCGCCTTACGCACCTCCACGTACGTCGCATCCGCCACACAGTGGGCGTTTGTCAGGATGACGAGTTGGCCGTCGTGCTGCTGCCGCATCGTGAAGCCGGAGCCGGTGCTCTCCTCCTGCGGCTTGTTGCTCCACGGCATGGCAACGTTGACGGAGCAGTGCACCGAGTACACCTTGACCACCGGCTCTGCCGTCGACGCGGACGCCTCGAGCGGCGCCAGCACCGCACGGCCATAGATGTCGACATCCGCGGCGCCGACGGGCGGCCCGCAGCGGCGGCTCTGCGCGGCCGAGGCTCGTCTCCGGACGGACAAGCTGCGCGGTGACAGGGCGAGGGCGAGGGCGAGACACGTGTACATCACGACGCGGTCTGCGCCGCCCAATCAAAAAAGAAAAAAATCTGGATTGCGGGAAATATACCCAGAGTGCGGTTTCTTCTTCAGGGTGCCTCCCAAGGGTGCCGACGACGAGACGGTCGCGCGTGATCAGATCACGTTGCCAACCAGTCAAGCGTACATGTGCTCCACTCTCCTCGCGGGCATGCTCGCCGCCGCGATGACGACGATGGTCGCTCCCACCACCGGACTGGCGGCGCCCGCGGTCGAGCGCCCTAGGCCGGGCGAGTTTGGGCGCGCGAGCGTCGTCGCGGCGATCGAGGCGATGAGGCGCGGTCAGCCCATCGTGGTGACAGATGACGAGTCGCGGGAGAACGAGGGCGACCTGATCCTCGCCGGCGAGATGGCGACGGCCGAGACGGTCGGTTTCGTCGTGCGCCACTCCTCTGGCGTGATATGCGTCGCGCTGCCCGGCGAGCGCTGCGACGACCTGCGGCTTCCGCCCATGGTCTCTCGCAACCAGGACCCAAAGGGGACCGCCTTCACGGTGTCCGTCGACCTCAAGGCGGGGACCACGACGGGCATCTCCGCCGCCGAGCGCGCAGCCACCTTCCGCGCTCTCGCGGACCCGGTGCGCCCTCGCCGCTTCGGCACCCGAGCCGCGCCGCTGCCGAGCGGCGCCTCCCCTTTCCCCCGCGTGCAGGCGCTCGGCCCGGAGGCTTTCAACCGACCCGGCCACGTCTTCCCACTGCGCGCCAGAGCGGGCGGCGTGCTCGAGCGCGACGGACACACCGAGGCGCATGCGCACCCCCTCTGGCCGACGGGCGGACGTTTCCGTGCACCTTCTCCGCGCCTTCCTAGGCGGCGGGGGACCTCTGCCGGCTGGCGGGGCTGCAGCCGGCGGGCGTGCTGTGCGAAGTGGTCAACGACGACGGCAGCATGGCGCGCCCCTGCACGCGCCGACTGATAGCCATGCGTTCACAGTGCGGCGGGCGGCGGGGAGAGGCCTCTGAGCGCGCTTCGCCCCCCTCGCCCGTCCGCAGGCGAGGGTGGCAGACCTGATCCCTTTCTGCGAGCAGCATGGGCTCGTCCTCACCTCCATCGCAGACTTGATTGAGTGAGCGGCGTAGCGGCGGCGCGAGCTCCACATAGTCCGGGCGCGCGCTGACGCGCCGACGGCGCGAGTAGGTACATCCGGGACGAGCACGGCGGCAAGGTGCCGGGCTGCTGAGCCCAGCTCTCGCGAGGGGACACCCGGCGCGGAGGCGGTCGCGAGAGGCGGGTTGGAGGAGGGGGGGGGGGGGGGGAGAGCAACGGCTGTTGCGACGAGATGGCTCGAGACGCGAGACCGGACAATGAATTACGGCTATTGTGGAGCGCGGGCCACAGCGCCCGTCTTGCGGGGCCGCGGTTTGCGCGCGCCACGGGTGTTACTCTCTCTCTCTCTCTCTCTGGGGTCCACATATCACGCGCGCCAGAGAGGGAGCGCACGCGTGACACGGACTGTGTGACCGGACTCGCTTGTCTCCTTGTGTGTGTTGTGGAGGAGAGAGCGCGGCGGCGCACGGGGCTCGGGCGACCTGTATTTTGAACCCACCTGACGATCAATGGTGGTAGTATTGCGATCTTTAGACGTTATTTTACGCGAGCGTTCTCGCGTTGTTTCGCTTTCGCCGGCGTTGGGGAGACGTGTGTTCTGAATGACGAGTGGCGAGTGCCCCACCGGCCACGGCCATGGCCATGGCCCAGGCGGCCGGGGCGCGCACGCGGCAGGCACGGGCCGGAGGGCGGTCGCCCACACGCGCTACACTGAGCCAATTCGCCCTTCTCATCACTGCCCCGACGCCCGCCCCTCGACCTTCTTGGGCAGCAGCTGGTCCGACAGGTCCTCTCCGTGTCCTAGGCCATGGAGAGGGCCCTTGCCCCAGGCAAAAACAGCGCCATCGCCCGTGCGGGCGAGGTTGTGGTATGCTCCAGCCGACACAGCGACGACGCACTTCCCCGCAAAGGCCTCGACCTTCCTCGGCAGCAGCTGGGTCTGATCGTCGCCGTGGCCCAGCCAGCCATGGAGACCACTGCCCCAGCTCCAGAGGTTGCTGTCGGCGGTGATGGCGAAGCTGTGGAAGCCTGCAGCCGACACAGCGACGACACGCTGGCCAGCCAAAGCCTCGATCTTCTTGGGCAGCAGCTGGTCCTGCTCGTCGCCGTGGCCCAGCTCGCCAAAGGCTCCACTGGAGCTCGCCAAAGGCTCCTGCGGGTCGCCGTGGCCCAACCGGCCAAAGCATCCCCAGCCCCAGCTCCAGACAGCGCCGTCTGCGGTGACGGCGAGGCTGTGGTTAGCTCCCGCCGACACGGCAACGACGCGCCGCCCAGCAAAGGCCTCGATCTTTTTCGGCAGCGGCTGCCACTGCTGGTCGCCGTGGCCCAGCCTACCGAACAATCCACCGCCCCAGCTCCAGACGGCGCCGTCAGCGGTAATGGCGAAGCTGTGCACAGCTCCAGCGGACACAGCGACGACGCGCTGCCCCGCCAAGGCCTCGACCCTCATCGGCAGCCGCTGGTGCTGCTGGTCGTCGTGGCCCAACTGGCCTTCGGAATCCCAACCCCAGCTCCAGACGGCGCCGTCAGCGGTGATGGCGAGGCTGTGGACGCGTCCAGCCGACACAGCGACGACGCGCTGGCCAGCAAAGGCCTCGACGTTCTTTGGCATCGGCTGGGTCTGCTCGTCGCCGTGGCCCAGCGCGCCCCAGCCTCCCTGGCCCCAGCTCCAAACGGCGCCGCTGCTGGTGAGGGCAAGGTTGGACCCGGTTCCAGCCGACACGCTCACGGCGCGCTCGCCGCCCAGCGGCGAAGGGAGGCGGGTTGGCGTGTTGAGCTGCGTCACGCCCTCGCCGTGCCCGAGAATGCCCGGCATCTCGCCAAGGCCACAGCTCTCAGCCTTTCCGCACGATGAGAGCCGCCCCTCGCCGTCGATGAAAACGCTATATTGTTGGCCTGCCGCCGCCCTCGCCGGCGGGTTGGACTCGCACAGCAACGCAGCGAAGCACAGCCACCGCACGGCGCAGCTCTCGCCCTCTGGCTGCGCGGGCAGCTCGAAGCCGCGCTCTTGCGCCCACAAGCGGATGCCCTCCAGCGCCAGCGAGGCGTGGAAGAGCAGCGAGACGGCCGCGACGCGAGCGATGTCGGTGGGGCTGTCGCAGCGAGAGAGGGCGCGCTCGAGGAGGTCCGTGGGGAGGTCGAGGAGGCGGGCGGGCGGCGGCGTGTCTGGCGGGTGTGCGGCGGCGGAGGAGGCGGTGGCGAGGCGGCGCGAGCGGCGGCGTGGCGGTGCAGACATCGCGAGAGAGACCGTCTCTCCCTGACAAATGTCCAACGAGACCGTCCCCTGACAAACGGTCCGCGAGAAATCCCGCCAGAGTCGGGCTGGCAGCCACCAGACCAGCGACTGTGCCGTGCAGGGCCGGGGAGACATCACCCTGCTTTTTTTGTCGAGAGGAGCCGGCCTTCTTGGAGCTGGACGCGACCTTCTTGGACAGCTCACCACCATATGGTCGACCGTCTTCACATCCAGGGCCGGGGAGCTAAGAAGCGCACCCAGCGAGCCGGATGATCGGTGTCGGGTGACGGGCTGAAAAAATGCCATTTTTTTGTCAAGGTAGACTCGGCGCGACAGGAGCTGGACGCGACCTTCTTGGACAGCTTCACCACATATATGGTCGACTCGGAGCTCCACGCTGCCGCGGCGGAGGGAGACATCAAGCGCTGCGCCACCCTGCTAGCCGGAGACTCGCCGCCGCTCCCCAACGCGCCCGACAGTGAGGGGAGGTCCGCCATCTTCTACGCGCAAGTGCGGGGCCACGCCGGCGTTGCCAAGCTGCTGTCGACAAACGGGTGGACGCCAATGCCCGAGCACAACCTGTGGCTCGGCGGTCCTGGGGGACGAGCGATGTGGTGGTCTGCTGGCTCGTGGGCAGTGGCTCGTCCCATTGCCGCCCAGCGCTCAATCCCGTCTCAGCCGCAGAGCGGCCGGGCGAAGGCGTCCAAGCGGCTCGAGCGGCGCCTGTCTGGCCATCGCAGCGGCCTCTCTGGCCGCTACGGGCCCTCGGGCCCTGCGCACCCTTGGTATCGGCGCAAGACGGCCGGCGAGTCTGCCGCCGCTCGAGCAAACAAGAAGCCGGGGCTAAACGTGAGCGACGTGGCCGAAATGCACAAGCGCACGGGCACGGAGCGACTCATCGAGGCGCAACTTGACTTTCTGGCCAGGGCCGCCGCGCCGGCCTCCTGCGACGCGGCCGACGAGGGCGAGGGCGAGGCGGCGGCACCTCGCTCCAGCCGCACCGCCATGCTGGGCGAGGTTGCCCGCGTCGTGGTCGCGAGGCGGCCCATCTGGCTCGACGGCTCCTGGAAGGTCGTCGAGCCCGAGCCAGCCACCCGCGACGAGTCCGCCATGCTCTGCGCGGGGCAGGAGCTGCTGCTCGGCGCCATCTCGGAGGAGTTCGACGGCGATGTTGAGTGGCCCGCGCTGGCCGCCGAGCGCGCGCCCTGGGGTTGGGTTTTCCTCTAGCGATACTTCATGATGTAAACTCGCATGCTCTATCCTCTTTTTTTACCCTTTCCTTTCCGCTCCCACCTTTTCCTTCGTTCCCCCCCTTTTTTCCCCCTTCC